CCCTTGTCCAACAGGTCTTAAGTTCAAGTAGAGAGTTGTTGGTTACTGTCAAGGTATTTGTGCCACTACTACAGCTTAGATTTATAGTACCATGTTGTCCATTGTTGTAGTTCATTGTTTCGTCTCTCCTTTAGATGCTTTAATGGAAACTTCTGGTACCATGAAAAATAGTCCTCAAGGAGGAGTCTTTCAGTTTAGTTTTAGCTCAGGTAGTTTAGCTGTACCCTGTGTCTGAAGTGATGTTTTCGGCAATAGAGACTTACCATTGTGAGGCAGCCAAGGGCAATAACAATAGCTTATAATGTTTGGAAAGACCCTTGGACAACCCTGACAAACTACTAGAAAGAGGGCTTCCATGCCTAATGTTGGAATAGGAAGTTATTTTATCCCAGCTACCATCTTTCTGTCCAGCACCATAGGCAGTGCAGAGAGTTAAGTTAAATGTACCAAACACACATCTTATAGTGGTATCTGAAGCCAGCCAGAGTTGGAGGCATACACAGAAGCCAAAGGCCCAGGTTCTAGCTGCAATACCTGCCATGTAAGAACCATCTCCCCACTACCTGCCATGTATCAGCCATCTCCTCATTCTTTACGATGCTTTTAATTTTCCACAGGGTCTCTCCTTGAACTTACTGAAATTCCTTCAGTCTCACCAGGATGAAACCTTGAAAGCATTCTCAATTGGTGGGGCAGAGTTTTGGCTGCAAGTTGCTAATTTATCCCATGCTATAGAGTATAATAATTATCAGTCTTTTCAAATGAGACCTCCATGCCCTGCACATCTGAGTAATTTCTTCTATTTTAATCAGATGCTGCAACGTGTTGCCCTTTAAATCACTGGGAAATTGATCTAGCTGATATATAGTGCTTACCTCTTCCGTTGAATAGCAAATGTATTCCTCAACCAAAATTCATTTCTGCTTAGAGTTTGCTATAGAATTTATAGATTCATTTAGAAACAAAATACTTTACATACTATGTTCCCGGAGTAATTAGACATTAATAATGATAACAAATGTGGCAACAATGACAAAATGAGGAGACACTGGCATTTCATAGAAGCCTGCTATGGTTAATCCATTAGAGAAAATGGTTAATGGGAAAAACTTAATGAGCTACTAGGCTTGGAAAATGTTGTAGTTTATTGTATATATGCAGCAGCAGAGATACATGAAGTATTTCGGAAGTTCGGTCAGAGAATCTTACTCTTCAGTCTTCAGATCTCTTTCTCAGCTAGGAATGGCAACTCATGCCTGTAATCCCAGGACTTAAGAACAATTTACAATTTTCATTCAATCTAGAAGTCTGAAAAACCTGCCTCCTCCCACCATAGTGTGACAAAAACCAAGAGACAGGACACAGGGAAAAGGTGCCAGGCTCAGAGAAAGATAAACATTCCACTTGATAGGCAGTCATGGACACTTAACAATGGGACATGCTCTGAGAAACATGACACAGGGAACATTGGGCTATTGTGTGACCATCACAGAGAACGTGACACAGATCTGGATGGCGCTGAGGATTGGCTTCAGCATGTAAATGATTGACCATTTCCAAAACTCCTTCCAAAATGCCTTAACATTGGCCCTCCAGACTCTGCTCACTGGGCAAAGGTCTTCCAATCTTTTTAAGCCACTCAGAAACAATAGTAAATTAAAAAAAAAATTGAGTCCAGGCTTTTCCTGCAACACTGAAAACAAACTTCTGGTTTTGACCATGACTGTCATAGTGATAGAATAGATACACATCTGGTCTTCCATTCCAATCTCTGGATGTTTCTCCATATCTAATGTAGACCCTCTTTAAATTTCTGTGACTCTCATTGCTTTAGTAAAGCAGTCTTTCAATGGCCTCCTTTGATTTTATTCTTCAAGCTCACACCCACGGTGCAATGGCACCTGACAAAGAAGCAAGCAATGACCACTGAGTTTCTATCTCTATAGCTCTTAAACACTTTGACTTTGCTTTCTAGGTCAGTTGCTTCATGTGATCTCTTCCTGGCAACATTAGCGGTGGATTCTGTCAGGGTCACAGTAAGCAAGACAACTTAAGATTAAATTAGCACAGAAAAAAACAAAAAAACAAAAAACAATGCAAGCCAGGCGGTGTGATAAACACAAGATGTACTGCTGGCCATCTTTGTATGTCTGGTCAACTCTTGACCCATACATGACTATGCAGTTCTGGACTGTAATAAGTATCTGATCAGTTGTCGAGCCATACATGGTCACACAGTTCTGGACTGTAATAAGCTTCCTAGGCCAGTTAGAGGTGGACAGGCACTGTTGAATAGAAAGAAAAATGAAGGAGCTGCTGGTGTTGAAATTAGTCTTAGTGTTCAGAGCAACACGTCAGAGGGAGATAAAACTGATCCAAGTCACCTTCCTTGTCCTAAGGAACTACAATATCCACACTGAAACTGAATCACTTCCTCAGGGGGGCTGGATTCCCATGACATTAGCCTCTAATTTCACAGGAAATTGATGCAACAGTGAACCTCTTCCCTTAAACAAACATACAGAGAGGAGGGATATGGAAGTTGATCTAGAGGGGGCTCTCACACTGCACAACAAAAAAAAAAGAAAAGAAAAGAAAAGAAAAGAAAGAAAGAGAGCATATTTTGTTATTGTTTTGTTAGGGGGCAGTTATTGTTTTGAGAAAGGATCTCATGTAGCTCAAGCTGGCCTCAAAGTCATAATGCTCCTACATCAGGCTCTTAAGGGTGGAGACTCTGTTCTTAGATATCTTTGGCTCATCCCGCCCATAGACAGGATGCTTCAGCCCACTCAGCAGCCTCCCTTTCCCAGCTCACCTTGCCTCCCTTTCTCCTTCCACGCATTGCTGTTTCCCTCTCCATCTTTAGACACTCTTCTTTGCACCCTGCAGGAAAAGGAGGGCATCCCTCCCAATATGACCACTATGAAAGGAGCATAGTGGGAGACAGAGGAAGAGGGCTGTCAAAAAGCAGAGGAGGAATGCAGACAAGAACAGAGACACAGCCTTTTTAGCCACCACTTGCTAAAGGGGAAGATGATACCAGAGCCTGGCAGCCTGTTCGGTTACCATTTACATATACATAACCATATTTTAAATAGCTATCATAAGATGATTCGAATCTTATTCTATAGTAAGGAACAGGACATTCTCAAAAAAATTTTTGTTGTCTTTATAAAGTTTCTCATTAAAAACTTGTCTTCGTCACTGTTCTATTGCTGGGAAGAGATGCCATGACCAAGGCAACTCATAAAAAAAAAAGCATTTAATTAGGGGACTTGCTTATAGTTTCAGAGGTTTAGTCCATTGTCATCATGGCAAGCAGGTATGGCACTGGAGAAGCAGCTGAGAGACACATCCTGATCCATGGGGAGAGAGAGAAACACTATGCCTGGCATGGGCTTTTGAAACCTCAAAGCCCACCCCCAGTGACACACTTCCCCCAACAAGGCCACACCTCCTAACCCTTCTAATCTCTTCAAGCAGCTCCATTCCCTGGGGCCTAAGCATTGAAATACATGAGCCTACTGGGGCCACTCTTCTTCAAACCACCATGCTTGTATTAGTCAGCTGTCCATCACTACGACAGAGCACCTGAGAAAAACAAAAGGAGGACAAGAGCATTTTGCTTCCTAGCTTCAGAGGTTTCAAGGCAAGGGCATTTGACTTGATTGTTGTGGGGGTTGCAGTGGAGCATGTTAGGGTGAGGTTGCAGGTGAAAGAAACCTGGTTGTCTAGTGGCAGCTTGGAAACAAACCAGAGAGAGGAAGAAGAAGGATTAAGAGTCCCAATATCCACTTTGAGGGCCAATCCTTGATGACCTAATGTAAGGGTTCTGCTACCTCTCAGCAGTGCCAAGACTGTGAAACCCCACTGCTAAGGCTGGAGCCCAAGCACTTAGCATGTGGGACTCCAGGAGACAGTTAATATCCAAACCATAACAGAACTCAAGATTACGTCATTAGGGATTGCGTTCTGAAACAGATGAGTCACCATCAGCGGTCAGGGTCAAGTCCTGCTTCTCAGTGCTCAAAGCAAGGACATGTAACTCCTTGAAGGCTCTCTCTTTTTTTCCTATAAGGAAAAAAAATGCCATCTGTCATGCAAGAAGATAACATTTTTTGAGAAATCTTCTAAAAATATTTTGTACATTCTCAATGGGATATACATTCATCTCCTCCTGCCATGAGAAACAGTGTTCCCTATTACTCTGAAGCACTGCTGGCCTTGGCCATGAATCTGGTGAACTATGTAGAGTGGGGGTGGGGCTGAGATTAAGAAAACTCGCCGTTCTGAAGTAGAACAACAGGAGTCTGCAGAAGAAAGAACCTTCTTGGCTTTGAGAAGTGGGATCAATGATCCCACCAGAGACCAACAGTAGAACTAGCAGTAATGGAGGCCGCGGGTCAATGAGATGACTGAGTAGGTAAAAGCACTTGCCTCATCAGCCTGGTGACCTGGGTTCCATCCCCAGAACCCACGGTGAAAAGAAAGAACTGAATCCCAGAAGTTGTCTGCTGACCTCCACCTAGGGGCACACACATCCGCACAGAGAGCCAACATGCTCAGAGACACTCTGCAAGGCTCCAAGGGCAAGGTCCTGTTCTCCTGCTGAACAATGTACTGCTGACTCCTAACCCCAAAGCCAAAGCCAAAGCCAGAGAGGAGCCAGTACAGAGGGAGCAAAAGCCTCTTTCCAGATCCCGAATGCTATATACGACCCTCCAAATGCCAAATGTGCCTGCTGGCTTTATCCAGCTCTGTCTCCCTTCAGGAGCCTTCAAGGCTGTGCACGCTGATGGAAAACACATGGTGGCCTGAGTTTATGGCTCCACTGGGGGAGTAGGACCCTAAGGAGGGCTCTTCTGAGGAGTCACGGTACACCTCTTCCTGCAAAAGCAGGAAGTCAGCTTTCAACCTAAGCCGCACCCACACACACCTACTATTTCAAATGAGAAAAGACCCTCTGGAACAGTATTCAAATGCCCCTCTCTGCTCTCTGCCTTTGGCCTCTCACCTTCGATTCCCCAGAGCCTAGTATTTGAGAAGTGAAACTGAACATGCCACCCTTTTCATGAGGGGGGAGAAAAAACCTTGGAGGCCTTTTCATTGGGCTTATTTAGCATTGGTCACACACAACCCTTCACCATGAACAGTGTGGCGGCGGCTGCTCTCCTTGTGTGGACTCTGACCTCTCCCAGCAGCAGTGGCCACGGCAGAGGGGATGCTTGGCCCACACACACGGCCTGCAGCAGTGGGGGTTTGGAAGTACTCTATCAGAGTTGCGGTAAGATCTTGTGAAACGTTCGTTTGAGTTTACGGGGAAATTAAGGCCTTGTGGTGTGGACAACATGAGTATGAAGTAGGTATGGGTGAGGGACAAGGTGATCAGCAGCCCGGGGCTCTGTCCAGCTGCAGTGAGCCTTTAAAGGCCATGGGCAACTCTTGGGAGCTGTGGGAAAGGAAGGAAGAGGAAGAGCAGGACAGCCTGCTGAAAATAACTAAGACAGAGAGAGAGATGCCCCTCAGACTGCAGCCAGGCCTCCTGTGTCCTTCCACTCAGCTGGAGAAGAGGCAGGAACACTGGGTCTGCTGGGGGGAAAACGGGGGCATGAGGGCTGCCTCACTGCTGGGATGGAGCATCTATCTGGAGGTGGACCTTCTCGGCAGAGTAATTAAATCTCAGGATAAACCCTGGGCACTTGGAACAAAGGAAAGGAAACACAAAGAGTTTTCGTCCAGGAATAGTGGGCGAATCAGCCAATAGAAATCTAAGGATAGATGCTTTTTTGGAAGGGATGTCTCAGAGGCAGTGGTCAGGTTCCAGGGGACGTGTGATTGGAAGAGAGTAAGTTTTGGATCGCCTAACACAAACTTAAACTTGAAGAAGGATAAAGGTAGCTGGACAAAACTTTGAAGAGTCTGCCTGTGTGTGACAAGGACCAGGCCTAGTGCTTCATTGGCATGAGCTTTGCTTTGTGAGTATAAACATGGGGCCAGAGATGCTAGCTAACTTTGCAAAGGCTCTCCAGCAAATAATGTAGAAAGTGTGCTTCTGGGTGACAGAGAAGACAAAACATTGAGTAAATATTTGTGGAATTAAAGCACATCCAGCACTGGCCTCTCTAAATCCAAAAGCCATGCTCTTAATTAACCCTGGTGTGTAGAATTTTGTTGCTGTGTATAATCGCATAGAGGAGCGTGGAGGATAGTTCACAGAGAGAATTGTGTGTATAAAGGCAAAAGTAGCCGTGGCATGACCAGGCAGAGTTCAGGGAGCTGAGAAAATGAAGAGCGAGATGGAGACAGAGCCCCAGACAAGAGGAGTTGCCTGTCTTTGGCTTTGAGGAGCCTCTACTTTGGAAAGATCCCTTGCCTTGAGTGGTTACTAGGGATGTGGGTATTGCCGTGGAGCCTGTTTGTGACTGAAAGCAGGGTTTATAGCTGGGAGTCATGACAGGTCAGGAAGAAAGCCATGACCATGTGAAAATCACTCAATGGTCCTTAGACTGAAGGGATCATGGGTGCACTCTGGGCTCAGCAGAAAGGCAAGTTGAACCCTAGGAGCTCCTGCAGGGGGTGGTCCTGACTCTGTATTCTGAAAGGACAGGAGCTTTTGGGGGTTGCCCGTCTGTACACTCCTGAATACAGAGAGTCTTCCACTTCGCTCCTGGGTTTGTAGGGCAGCAGCCTCACTCAAAGACTGCCTGGAATTACACTCTGGTCAGCAAGGTTTTGGGATGGTGTTAGCACCTCAGGGGCTTCTGGGATCCAACTGTGAGGCCGGAAACGTAGTTGCTGTGATATTTTAGGGCCATGCTTCATTTGTCTCTTTTTGTAATTTTAGTTCCAAGGGGAGAGAACTTAAGATAGAAATTGTTTTCTGAATCATTAAAAACAAAATTCTTCAAGTTCACTTTCTAGAGGGACCATCAGAAGCGATTTTTGAATGTTAGGTACAAACTAGGAAACTAGATATGGTGGTTCGTGCCTCGAATCCTAACACTTGGGAGGTGGAGGCTAGAGGGTGTGGAAGTTCAAGGTCCTCCTTGACTTCGTAGTGACTTTGAGGTCAGCATGGCTATACATAATAATACAATACAATAATAATAATAAGTAATTAAAAATAAAAATATCTAAACAGGAAGTGAGCACTTTTTTTTTTGGAAAAGCAGAAGTCCTAACTTGTTCAAATAAGAGAACTGCAAAAAAAGAAGAAGAAGCCAATATTGTTAAATCTAAATGCAAGACTATGTGGGAATCTTCCTACATTAATTCATAAAATAATATTTTTAAAAACCTAGTTATGTGACACCAATGCCTACTAGTGTATTTACTCATATGCAGCCCTCATTAACACAAACAATATAAATTACAAAAATATTTATTGTCATGTGAGGAGAGAAATCAATAGCGGTGGGAGAAATAGGGTGAGCGGAAGAGTAGGAGCCAGTGTTATGGATGGATTACTTGTGCCTCCACTGAAACAATCCATGCACTAAGAACCAATGAGACGTCTGCAAGCCTGGTCACCTGAGCTGGTTCCCGCAGTCTTGAGCTAGAAGGAAGCTGATGCCACACCCCTGTCCTGTGACCTCACACACTATCAGGGGTGTGCCCACGCTCCTGTCTACACATCAATCAGTCGCACACACACTCACACAATAGTAATAAAATTTTAATGTGTATGCTATATCCTATTTCTAAGATGATGGTATTAGGAGGTAGGACTTCCGTAAGGCATTAGATCATAAAAGCAGCACCCACAGAAATGGATTTTTCTTTTACAAAAGAGACCCTCTAGAGTCAGAGGCCCATGCCAAGAACCCAGTCCTGCTGGCCCCCCTGATCTCAAACTTGTGAAAACTTGAGAAATCTGGTTGTTCAAGTCATTCTGTCTAAGTAACTTGTCACAGTGACCCAGAACTCACGTAAATGTGCCAGGCGTGGTAGTGTGTGCTCCGAATTCTAGCACTGGGGCCGAAGAGGTGATGTCTCCCTGGAGCTCACTGGAAAACCAGCCTAGCTCAGTCGTGAGTCAGGTCAGATGAAAGACTCTGTCTCAGAAATTAAGGTGGCCAACACCTGAAGAGCAGCACCTGAAGTTGACCTCTGACCTCTACATATAAGCACACACATGAACAAAAAACACAAAAACACAACAACACATACACACAAAAGCAAATAAGAAATATATATACATATATGCATACACACGAACATATGTGTGTTTTGAAAGCACACATTGATCACTTCAGGGTTCCAAGGAACAGAAATGTAAAGTAAGTTTCTCTGGGTCACAGTGCTACCCAAGCCTCACCCCTTGGAAGGGCTAAGGGAGAAAATAACCACATTTTCCAGTGTGCAGCCTGTTTCTCAGTTCAAGGCTGTCCCCCTCCCCCCCGTCTTCAGAGGCAGCCCTGTAGCTTCCCGTTTCAGTCATCACCTTGCCTTCCTAAGCTGTGGCAAAGATCTCTACCTCCTTCTTATGAGATGTTTGTATGAGGATGACCTCCCAAACACGAGATTCCTAACTGAGATGGCCATGTCTCTGACCATATATGGTAGTAGTATTCACAGGTTCCAAAGATGAGGACATAGATGTTTTCAGTGATCATTTCAGCCTACTTTGAGAGACAATATTTTACCTCATACAGCCTTGGATGGATTCAGTGAGAAGGACTATAGGAAAAGTTAGTTCTTTGCATATCCTACATGTTTAATAAATCTTTGCTGTTGGTGACTTTATATGGTATGATCCAGCCAATAGAACAGTGGCTCTCAGCCTTCCTAATGCACTGACCCTTTGATACAGTTCCTCATATTGTGGTGACCCCAACAATAAAAATTATTTCGCTGCTACTTCACAACTATTATTTTGCTACTGTTATGAATCATAATGTACATATCTGATACGCAGGATATCTGATATGTGACCCTGACAGGGGTTGCTACCCACAGGTTGAGAACCACTGCAATCGAAGCATCTCTGACTATAGGCTTAATTAAAGGGAAATCAAACCAGGAAGTGATATTTCAGAAATTAACCAGTTTTCAAGAAGTTTAACAACTCTGCTGGATTCTGAGGTATAACCCACAAGAGAAACTTTCCCCCAGATAGCTAGCTTTCTGGATGACATGTCTAAGCAATGCCACTGTCCCTTTGTGTAGATAAAGGCCTAGAATCAGGACATACCGTAAAGAGCCATTGTAGAATCTCCTTCCCTGGATGCAGCATTCAGAGGGGCCGGCTCATTTCAAAAGTTCAGTTGTCATGGAAACAAATGAGCCATTCACACCCCAAGAAATTCTCCGTAACTTTTGCTGATGAGGCTGCTGTGGAGTTTGCTAGAAAGTTCTTCATAGGAGTCAGATTGCAGGGGTCTCAGTGATGCTACCTGGCTGGCGAAGCTTGAGAATAGACTCCAACCTTGCTGCTTCACACGCTACTCAAGGACTTTTTCAACAAGAAGGCAGAGGCGATGAGAGGCTCTGTGTCCTGGGCCTGAATTCTCCATGCTCCCTTTGGTTATATCTAATACTGGCAGACAACTTGGCCATGGAAGGTGTCCTTGGAAATCGTCTGCATCAGGGGACTGCCAACTGAGGCCTACAGGCCAAATCTCACACATAGCCTGGGAGCTAGAAGTTACTTCTACATTTTTAAATGATTAAAGAATTCAAAATAAGGATAATGCTTCTGGTACTCTGGAAAACACATGACATGGTCAGCCTTATAAAGGAAAGTTTATCTTGGCTCCTTGGGTTGAGGTATCGGTCTGGGAATGTTTGTGCCTGTTGCTTTGGGTCTTTGGTGAGATGTTCTTCCTATCAGGACTGAAGAAAACAGACCACCGCACATGCGGGAAGTGAAAGGGTGAAAGAACAGATCAGATTTCTCAGTTCCCTCTGAGGGCCGCCCACGGCCACCCATGGACTTCTATGGACAGTCTTCCTGGGGAGATGAACAACACCACGGAAAGGGAACTGATGACAGACTAAAGTAACCACACCACCAAAGTCCAGTTTGGAGACTTAATGAGTGTGTTGGGATTACTCATAGGTGTGTGGGTGAGGGGTGACTTATAGAAGCCAGGGTCACTTAAAGGTAGTTTTCACCAAAAGCCCATACCAACTCAAGTGAGACTCACAAAAGCTGGTACCCTGGATCTGCCTGCACCACTTGGAGGCAATCTGGTAGGTCAGAGGCTCATCTCCTCGGGATTCTTACTGCTTACATAACCTAGGGGGTGGGGCTATCTTGTACATCTGGTAAATTTCAGACAC